TAATCCAGTTCAGTAAAGACAAATAGAATGTGGTAACAATCATCTTGCTAGGCTCAGATGGCCATAGATGATTTGACCACCAAATCCACCTGACATTTCAAGGATCCCCATGCTGTGAACTTGTTAGTGGTTCTGTGCCTTTTTCCTTCTGCAGATGGATGGGAAAGTGCCAGCACAAGTGAGGAAGATGATGAAGATGAAGAATGGATTGATGTGCACCATTCCTCAGATGAAGAGCAGCAAGTAGTGAGTTGGGTTTTTTTTCTTTTTAATCACTTCAATCCAAGTCTAAATGCAGTCTTCAGATACTCAGTTTAATTCTCTACAAGCTTATGCTGTCATTTAATTGCTTACTTTTGCACACAACGTGCATAAACACTTCTAAATCAACAATGTTGTTGCACCCCATTTGCACAAGTACACATGAATATTCATGGATTGAAGCAGATAAGAATCAGCCTTGTGTGTGTATAGGTCTCATGCCTCTTTGTAATTTGGAGGAAAGAAAAGGGCCTTGTTCTATAAGATAACAGCATGCAAGTTAACTCCACAAAATGATTGTGTAAAGGCCCTGATGGTCCTCCTATGTGCCTTTGGTGACAGGCAGAGAACATCAAAAGCATGCCTGTAGAAGAACAGAAATCTAGAGCTGCAGCTGTTAGCACAAGCAGGATTTTAACTCAAGAAGACTTCCAGAAAATCCGCCTCGCCCAGCTTTCCAAAGAACTCAACTCTGCACCAGGCAAGGCTATGAAGAGGAAGAACATTGAAATAGACAGTGAGGAGGAGGAAAGGTAAGCAAAAGTACTGATGTACATTTATCACCTTTCCTGTGAGGTAACAAGGGTATTATTTATAGTACCTGGGAGCCCTAGTCAGAAACCAGAACTCCATCATACTACATGCTGTATAACTAAATAACAAAGATGGTCTCTTCTGACAAAGATGCTATAATCTGTGTATGAGACAGCGGAATTCGCAGGAATGCTGCTGTTGCTTCTAAGGGCCAGATTGTATGCTGCCGTTCTGTGCAGCACAGTTCAGATGCTCATGCAACTATGCAAGGAGTATAAGATTAGTTAAACTATTCATATTATCAGCCAGGTTGTCAGTAATGTAGGGTTAAACACAAATCCAAAGTGCATTTTTATACCACATTTTACACCTTAAGTGCTGATATATCCCAAAAGTCTTCCCAGTTATAGATTTCTGTAACAAATCATATTACCTATTGTGCCACTACGAACAAGTTATGTTACTGATCATGAACTAAACACACTTCGTTGCCCACATGGGATTGAATGAACCTGACAGTTTTGCCAATGTATTTACAACAGGGGTGCTCGACCCTTGTTTTGTGGGTCAGATTCAGCTCATGGAACCCTGTCACCCAGCCTGTAGGGCTCCTCATGGGTTTGGAAATTTAGTGGCAGGGGGGCAGTGACAGTGTAGATGTATCATTCCCATGCTGCCTAATTCCTGGACCCATGGGGAGCCCCACAGGCTGGACAGCATAGCCCTGCGTGCTAAACTGAGCGTGCAGAGCCCAAATTGGGTGTGTGGGGCTTGTCAGAGGTGGCATGGGGGCTGATCTGGGCGTGCAGGAGCTGTGCCTGCACCATTCATCCAACCCACAGGACCAGAAGCTTGAAGTACTACTGATTATACAGTATTCCTACATGCTTTTTGTATCTATGGCACCAAGCTTGGTCATGCTGTCCTATATTTACTCCTCTTATCTATCAGTTTGTACTAATCCTGTCCATACCAGAGTGTTCTTAAATAGATTCCAAATGTTTTGGTGCTTCCTTTTTGACTTCCCCTGAACTTCAGATGTGTACCTTTCAACTTCTTCTGCTTTGGGCCTGCCTTGTGGGTCACAGAGAAGACAGGCAAATGGAGAGCTACAACGGATCCCTTGATAGGTGGTCAGTGGGCTGAGAGCCATGCCTGTTTTTTTAAATTTTTGTGGTGAAGGCAATAAAGCAGTTTTAGAGGTTTATGAGGCGGTCCTTCCATGCAAGGGAGGTAGTCCAAGAGAAAGCACAAAGGTATACACTTGAAAAGGTAAAGAGCAGGCAATTATGTCATTGGAGGCAGAAAGGGACATCTCAGCAATGAATAAGAGATGGTGGGGAGGGTGAGGATGTGATGAGCCCATGTATGAGAAGTAGCCAGATGATGGCTGTGTTTCCATTTTTGCAGAGGAGAGCTGCTTTCACTCCGGGACATTGAATATCTACATAAGAAACCCAAATCTGACAAAGAAACAAGGCTGGCAACAGCAATGGTAAGGACCTTTAATGTTTCAGATCCTGTCTCTAGATTTTTTTTCAAGGGATTCATACTTTGCAAGCTGGGAAATTACAAGAACTCAGAAGAGGGAGATTCAGAGGATATCAGCGCAGTTAGGTAGATGCCTTCCTGCTGCTAGCATTTTGGAAAATATCTGCCCTCTTTTTTATCCTAACACAGACCACTGCTGAGCTCAGTTAAGTACCTGTCCTCTGACCATGAGTGATGCTTAGTGCTGGGTTTTTTTAAAACCTTTTGGAGACTTTTATTCCAGTCATTTATAACATGTATGAACCTAGCGTGTACAGGGATAAATTGTGATCACAGCAGAGGTTAGCTAGATGTTGCAAGTTGTGAGAGAGGAGATAATTCTGTAGATTTTTTTAACAGTGATTTCTTCCTTAGGCTGGAAGGACAAACAGAAAAGAATTTGTGAAAAAGAAAACCAAAATGAATCCATTTTCCAGCTCCACTAACAAAGAAAAGAAGAAGAAGAAGAACTTCATGATGATGAGATACAGTCACAATGTTAGGACAAAAAATAAAAGGTCCTTCAGGGAAAAACAGGTAGGTATGCTGCTTACACCAAGAAACAAGTAAACCTGAGACTGCTCAATGATGCTCTTTTCTGACAACAGCATAGAATTTGTTACAGAAAAATGTTCATCACTTGCTTAGGGGACTTTTTATATAATTCAAGATTTCACAGTATCAGGACTTAGTGCAGAGGAACATATGATAGATTGTATCTCTTCAAATGATGCCTGTTTGCTAGTACACCCAGAAAAAAAGGGCCCTTCTACAGGTGGAACATTCCTTTGCCTTAGTATGCATGTTGGAAATCTGTGTTCTAACAAGCCACTGGGTGTAGGCCTCTTGTCAGAGGAACCACCTTATATCATGGCTTTTCTTTGTCAGTGTAATAAGGACAGGGTTATGTCGTAAAGTAGTTGGTAGGGTTGTAGCATGATTTGGGAATGTAATTATAACCTGGGTTGGTCCCCTAGCCTAGAGCCAGTGGTTCCTAAACTTTTGATACCCGGGGCACACTTTTTTTTTTTCTGGATTAAAATTGGTGGTGCACTTCACTCTTAAACCCAAAAAGGGGGTGAGGGTGGGGTGGTGTTTCAAAATATGTAACATTTCATTCCTGTGCCAGAGGAAATCGTGCATCTTTCTTTAAGCAAAGGACTAATCTATACTAGTGCTTCTTAACCTTAGCTTCAAGGCCCCCCTCCATAACTTTTCTGAATTTTGTGGTAGCCCAATTGAAAATCACTGAGAGATCTACATTCAGAGAAGATATGGAGGGTGGGGGGGAACCTTGAGGCTAAAAAAGTTGAGAGTCATGATCTAGCTGGTGCTGCTTAAGGGCAGTGGGGGAAGGACCTTTCCATGATGTGACCTATTATTTCCAGTTTGCCCCTCTCACCCCCTGGTCTGTACCTCAGGGGGCAAGGGCAGCGCCTGCTACTGAAGCTGTTCCTTCAGGGTTTCACATGCTAGTGAGCACCCTCACTACTCCTCCTACCAGTCCCAGGAGTATGGGGGGAAGCAGAAGGGAAAAGCCAGGCTGCAAAATGAAGCTCTGCCTATGCGTCTACTTGCCCATTGCCAGCAGAAGGTGTTGCTGGAAGAGGCATAGGGGTTGCCTGGGGGCAGGGAAGGGTGGGGAAAGGCAGCAATAGCAGTGGTAGTCAGAGTAGTCCCCAGAGGAGCAACCCCAGGCACTGCTGAAGTAGCTGGGGCAGGTGCAGGGTACTGGATGGG